CGTTCATAATTTTTTATCTGCCCAGCTTAAGTTGTCCGCGTTGTTGTTCTCCACATTGTTGGCCTTTCGTGCGATTGTTGTTGCTGTTGTTGTCTTTGGCATGCATCATTAGTTAGCCTAATGTACTGTATGGATATCGCAGTAGCAGACCACGCCCAATCCGGACCAGGTGCCCACCGGCCAGAAGTCCCATCGAAGTGGATGGTCAAGTGGAGGATGGTGGTGCTGGTGGTGCTGGTCATCAGCAAGAACAATAACGCCGGCGTAACCATGGATATAGATGGCAATCACGATTTGCACACACTCCCAGCACACACATACACACACACACTCGATAAGGGACTATCCACAAGAGAGAAATTTCCCGTTGAAGAAGAACGGCAATCAATTGCCAAAATAGAACCGTCTTAACGTTTCGCTGCTTCCGAGCCCGTTTTGCACAGTGGACACTCGCTTCAAGTGACTGTAATATTTCAATAGTACTTTAAAAAGAGTGGATTTAGCAAAAAAATATAAATTTATATCTACCTTTCCTATTTTAGTATTATTAGAAAGATACTGTGGATAAATAAATAAAAAGATAAATAAAAGATAAAAAGATAAATGGAAATATTTGAGTTGCTTCTTAATTTCAAATTCGCAAGGATTTAAAGGACCTTTTGCCGCTAGAAAAGTATCTAGGCCTTATCTATTTATCTGCTATAATCTGTAATCTTCGGCTGAAGCGTTCCATGGTGCTTCTTCCGATTGCCTGTTACTGCTAACGAGTGCTGCCTGTACTTATCAGAGATAGATAATCGCAACTAGAACGGCCATTTAGACGGCAGCTCCCTGCTTACGACTTTTCCAGAGCCTAGTAGTGCCATGGCTGAGCTCCACCTCACTTACCTACGCTGCTCCTCCGCCACCCCCCACTCCCCCCTCCACTCCACCGTTTCGCGGACGTCCTTTGTGTGTTTGACGTTTATGTTAACATGTGTGTTGTTGTCTGCCGGCGCGTGTCTCTGCGGTGGGCTGTGCCATTGTGTGGGTGCGAGTGGTCGTTGTGTGCGTACCCGGCCATGTGTGTGGGTGGCTGAGCATCTGCGGCGTGCCAGGAGCCCAAAGTCTGGGGATCTCGAGCCCGGACCGGAGCCGTAGCCGGAGAATCCCTGCCTCCCACTCGCACGCTGTGCTCCACCAGCCGCCATCCGGCTTATGCTGCGAGTCTGGCGCGGCTAAATCGCTTTTGTGTGCGTCGAACAGTGGTGCAAATTGCGCGGAAAATCGCGGAGCCTTCATATGTGTGGTGCTGTCAAAGCGTAATCGATATAATATATGACTCTATCAATGTTGGGAAAATGGTGGCGGAAATATTAAAATATATGTTGTAAACATTTCGAACCATTGGGGAAACGAAGCGGTAGGTAATTTTAAAAGCTGATTTCATAATTTTGTATTTCAATTAAAATTAAAAATATGCTAAAAATATTATATATGATGTATATTAAAAATAGGTGTATACGTACGCTTAATTATAAATATTTACTTTACATATATATTTACTTTTCGATTTGGTACAAGCAGAATTGACCAATATCTCTACTTGGCCTCGTTCACTGTGCCTTTTGGCCATTGTTTAACTTTGCTCCTTACTGCTGCTTGTTGCTGTCTTTTGTTGTTGTTTTGTTTTGGTTAGCAGTTGAAAAAGCAGAAAGATACCAGTAGGCGGGTGGTGAGGGCTGAGGTTGAGGGATGGAGCCCGACCCTGATATAAGATTGGACAAGGGAGGCGGAAGTGGGGAAGTGGCCATAAAAAAGCGCTCGAGGTTGTTAAATTGACAACGTTAAACACTTTGTTTGGCATTTTCTGCATTATTAGGCCAACTGCCGCCGCTTGTCGGTGTAATTGATGCCAGACAGATCCCTTTCCACTCGATCCCCATTGAAACAGTGATTTAAATGGCTCAAAAGTTAAGTTTCGTAATGCGTAAACGGCTTAGAGGGGTCCTCATATATGAACGATTGGGCCAAAGCCTTTCTGACGTTAAAAGGGTGGCTCAGAATGCTGTGCGAACAAACATTTCACTGTTTCAGCTTCGTCAGTTGATTTCACTGTCAATTTAAAATGACATTATTATATTGAAAAGTTTTTAATCCCTTTAAGTGGCTGCCACTGAGCGGAAGGATGGATGAAATGAGACGAGATGAGATGAGATGAGAGTGGTTGAGTGGATCAAAGCAATGAAGCGCGGTGCTGAAAGGGGAATTGCTATTTTATGCATAAAATTCGATTAAATGCCAGAAAGGTTAAGAACAAAAATCTCTGACTCTGACATCCTGCGCATCCTGATGCGCTGCTTTATCCTTAAATTAGGCACGAGCGCACGTAAATCTGTTGAATGTCATGTCAAAAGGGCAAAAGCCAAAGCTCGTAAAGTCAGCCACTTCCTTTTCCTTTCTTCTTTTTTTTTTCTTTTTTTTGTTGGTTTTATGACAGAAGGCAAAAAGGATTATACACGAACCGGTACCCCCGAAAACTTCTCTCAAGCAAATCGCATAAAATGCAAAAACGTATTAAAATTGACAATAAAGCGAATTTTTTATGTTTATGCGCAGGAGAGACTGACAGCGAATAAACGGTGCTGGATAAGAGGAATCGTTTAAATTTTTTAAAATACCATGCCACTTTAAAGCTCGTTATGCATTTTTTATGCCGCCTCAAAGGGCCAAACAAGCGGAAAAATAAACATGAGCACAAGCCAAACCGCTGCAATATGGCAAGTAAGGTTCTGTTTATTTGCCACTTAATTTGCCTCCGTCTGTTTGCAGCTTTGTTCCGCTAACAACCCAGTCACCCATTCACCCATCCGCTCACCAGCCCTTCTGCACCTTCTGCAACTCCACTCGAGTACAAAATATCAGCTCAGCTGCAACTTATGAGGCAACTGCTCCAAACCCCCCGTCCCCACTTTCCACATGCAACCCGCATCTTTGGAAATTCGTAGTTCAAGGTTTGCCTATCTACTCTATTGTGCAGACTCACGTTTTTCCAACAACACCTACATATGAAACCTTCTTAATTCATTTGTATTTAAACTTGTGTCCAATTCTTTCATAAGTTTACAATTCGACCTCATGCCTCAATGTAAATATCATAATTCATAAATATTGTGATACGTTTTTCTATAAAGGTGCTCTCATTATTTTTTCACTACCTGTAATCAAATTAAAACACTAAATTACATCTGAGAGCGCACAAAGGGATGATCAAAATGTAAATGTACTGCCATTACCATGATAATTTTTTACATTCCGTATTCACATGTTAACTGTTTTGAAAAAATTTACATTTTGTAAATACGCCGCTCACTTAAATATTCATTTATAATTTATTCATTGTAACACTTGTTTAAATTTATTTTTTTTCTTCCTCCTCTAGGGCATTTGTGCATCGGCGTTGCATTTGCGGGTTTTTCCAATGCTCTGCGCATTTTTTTGTTAGTTTTGTGTTGGAGTTATTACAGAAAGTTGGGAAGCATAAAAATTTCTTACTACTTGTCTGCAACGAACCGTAAAAACTTATGACTTGTCTGTTGGACGCACACAGCCATGTGAGTGGGTGGTGGAAGGAGGTGGAAGGTGGCCGGAAACTGACCTGGGAGACGCGGTACGGAGATCTATATCCGCTTTGTCTGCTTGGTTTGGACCTGGATGTTGTTGTTACTACTTCGCTGGCGCTGCCGCTGCCGCTGCCGTTGCACTTTGTTTGTTTGTTTGTGCCGGTAATATTTCCTTAAATCGAGTAAACAAGTGGAGTTCAACAAAGCGGAAACGGAAGCACAATGCGTAGCACACACACACACGCGCGCGTCTGTGTTTGAGCATGAGTGTTGCTTCCTGCATGTAAGGAGCATCCCAAATGCGAAGGATATTGTCTCAAAATATGGCGGCAAATATATTTTCGCTCAGCTGCAACAACATCCAGCTGGAAAAGAAGCGCTCCCGAGCTTAGTCATCTTTTTGTTTTTCTTGGAAATTTGCTGTTAAAAATAACAAAAGCTCATCGTGAGTCTCACCCACTTGCTTGCTTGCCAAGTTACATCCTTCCTTTTCGCTCGTCTCTTGTTTATCTTTAGTTCCACCTACACCGCCATGTCCTGCGAGTCCTTCGAGTCCTCCGACTCCTTCCGCCCAGCGCGCCCTCATTTGCCCACTCAATTGAAATCGAGACTCAAACAGCCAGCGAAGCGGCAATTGTATTTATTTGCACTGCTAAATGGCATAATCGAAGGCAACCCGGGTCAAGGGCTGCCAAATGCTCCTGGAGGCAATTCCCCACGGATTCCTGTAACGACAGGCTTTGTTGTCATGTTGTCTCGATTGCATTGGATGCTGGCCTGGTTTTAACTTCGAATTTCAGGCATTTCAGATTGACACGCTCCTGGGCCTGTGTAAGCAAATCAGGGCATCTCAAATGGAATATTGCTGGGAAGAAGGAACCAAATCACTCAGAAAAGTTGGAACTCGAAGCACAAAATAGTTTAAAACAGCATCAGATATTTGCTTAATATCGTTGTTACTGCCTTCAAGGTTTCAATTTACTGGAAAAACTGTCCGCTAAATAAATGTACTTGCAAATAACTTTGACCATCGAGTTTATGCCATTCAAACACTATTTACTTTGCGTAATGAGTGGTAATCAATGAACGAATGACTGCTTAGATGGTTTTTGGCCCCATTTTTGTGGGGACAGATTTCTAGCTCACATTTTGGGGTGCGGCTTTGGCTCTGGATGTTGGCGAAGTAAGCCAAGGAATAACTTCAAAGTAATGTTAAGTAAAGTTAAAAAGGGAACATTTATTAAATTCCACTTACCAACCTGCCGGTCTCTCTAGTCACTCTCCACTATACGCGCAGTACGCGCAGCCGGGGGAAAATTCCTGGGAAGAAGGGAAAAGCTTAAAATGCTAACTAAGAAGTTTTGAGCTGCTGTTGATGTTTTCGCAGGCATATTTCCCATGCCTTTTGGGCTCTTTAAAACAGCCAGCATAGCTGGTCGGCCTCCAAAGTTCAAGAGCTTTCCGGCAATAACTTTAAATAGCAGAGACTCAACTTGGCGCTCAAATGGTTTGTCATCAAATTATGTATATTGTTGATTGTTTCTTTGCCGCTTTTTTTGGACTTTTTATTTTTGGTCGGAATTTGGTGCGGCCAAAACCACGACGACAGGGTGGAAAACAAGAAACGGGCATCATTAAAATACTGTTACCGGCCTTTCTGGTCTTTGGACTCTGGACTCTGGACTTTGGCCAGGGCACGACCCCGAAAACTCTTCTGTGTCGACAGAGGGCAACCGCAACCAAGATTGTTCAGGCATATACCCTTTTTTAATTTGCAACATGTCATTGGCAGAAAGACAAGTAAAAGGGACGCAGTGGCGGGCTGAAGGGGGGCGCCCCCCACCGCCCAGCCACGCCCCCGTCAGCTCACGCTTTGTTGCGCCTTTTGTAGCTGGGCCTTCTCCTGGTTTTTGCCCAACGCTCCTTTTTTGCGCTTTGGCCAAATAACCCAAGCAAAAACAGAATTAGCAGCAACGCCGACGACAGCGATGGGAAAAACAGAAGATGAAGCGCAGGCAAAACAGGACACGGCCGAAATTCACAGCGAGGGGAGGCGCAAAAGTTGTCAAATAACAATCAAAAGGTGGCAAAGCTATCAAAAAGGAAAGATTCAAAAGTCTCTTTACCATTGTGGACTCTACTTATATATATTTTGGCAGATTTTAAAAGTTCACTCAGCTTGGAAAGCGTATTGACTTTCCCATTTGAAATATACTTTGATATACTTTGATTGAAAACTCATCAAAAACCAAAAGGTTTCCCTTTCATAAGCATATTTTTCTAAACATAGTTACAATTATACCGCAAAGCCTTTATTAGAACGTTTGAAACGTAGTTTTGAAAAATTAAATTTGCTTTCAGCATGACCGACATTTCTATGATTTATTTCCCCCAGATTCTAGTTTGCAATCAATTATTGGAAACGAATCCTTTAATCGACCTGCGACGGTCACCGCAAAAACATATACAGTGTGATAGACGATGGGAAATGACCGAAAAAGAAGAAAATGGCAAGAGAAAAAGGTAGCTGGCTTAGGGTGAAAGGGAATACAAGAGCAGGGGGTGAAGTTGAAGATTTGGGGAGCAAGTGGGATGGCAGATACAATGTCATACAAATGACCCATATTAAATTTATTACGGCACCGGGAACAGCACAATGAAATTCAATAGCCAGGAGAAGGAAAACCTAATGGCAAGCAAACAAATCAGCAACGCCTAAGCCGACAGACTTATGTACGTATGTGCATATTGGATATATAGCATGCTATATATAGGAAGTAAATGCTGGCGGGAGCTGAAAAAAGATTGGGAATGAAAACCAGATTTAAGTCGGTAATTTGGGTAAACTTTTTCGCTCACTTTTCTTTTTTCCGATTATGTTTTGTTTCCGTTACTTTCTCGGTAACTCCTGTTGGGCTTTCACAAATTGATTTATAATCCTGTCTCGAATTTCCCCCTTTCACTTCACAGTGTTGCGTCGAATTTTTGGAAGAAAGTTATGTCTTTCAGCGACTCTGCGTCTCAGCGCTCAGTTTTTAATGAAATATTTCAATTATTTTGCGATTAATTGGGAAAAACATTTTCCACTGCATATTCGAGGTGACGCGTAGCAGCGATTCGTGCGCAGTGGAACCGAATTTTCTTTTTGTTTGCCAGCGATATGTGCACGAAGCCCATTATCCTGCAGCTAATTAAGAAACGTGAGACAAATGACAAGCGCCGCAAAATTGTGCGGTTCCATATGCGACAACCTCAAAAGAGACATATAAAAGCGAGATACAGCAGTGCCTTGCACTGTGTAGAAACATACACTTCAGTATCACCAAAAACAATTTCAATTGACAAAAAATATTTTAGTCCTTGAAATTGTATTGAAATCTTCATGCTGCATTGTTCAAAGGACATTTTTTTGTAATTTTAAATGTATTATGGAAGAAAATGTGCAGAAAATGCAGCGACAAGCGCCTTATCAGCGATCAAGTACCCATTTGAACAACTTATGTGCGCAAAATAAAACACATAAGCCGAGAAACATATAAGGACGAAATACACATATAAGTAAGTACACACTGCCAAAGCGTGCTGGGCTTAAGCTGAAGCAAGAAATTTATTAATTATCAACTGGCCGAGGTCGAGATTGTAGATGTTCTCTGGCGCTTTGCCCCACTCCAATGCCACAAACATTTGCCCCACACACAGACAATCACGGCAAAGTCCTGATTGGCATTTAAAGCTCTTTAGGATGGCTCTCCATGCCATCCATCGCATCGAAGGATCTGGAGGGGCCCAAGTCGAGGAGGCTGGCAGCAAAAATCGAAGTAGAGTGACTACATTGAGCCTCAGCTGAGCTTCTTAACGCTGTCAGAGTTCTGACATAATCCATGCAATTGTAAATTTAATAAGGCCAACAGTAGAGGGGCAACAGGCGGGATTTTGGACTTGTTGTTGTGGTGTTATGGCTTGAGACAGCGAGAACTCAACCTCAACCCAATTAAAGGATGCAGAGCTGGGCTCATGAGCTGTAAGGAAATAGCCAGGAAAACATTCAAGTGCCCAAGTCCGTACGTAGTGCAGGCCAAGAGGTTGGAAACCAGAACCAATTCCTTTTATGCGGATTCCCTTGGTACTGGAATAAGCAATGCCGATTTCAGCCAAACTGTAGATTAGGTAAAATGAGAGGATTACGCTTGCAAATATCACATGTCGTTTCGGTATTTCAAAGTAGACAAAACATTTCTTGGGATACAAGTACCTAAGCTTCATAATTCCGATGCCAAGAAGGCTGTCTTGCTGGCAATAGATAAAAGATAAATCAATTAATTTAAAATATGTTTCCGCTAAATTAGGGCCCAAGCAAAATATGCTGGCAAAATATGCTGGCAATGGCATGATAAAAACGATAATATTTGAATTATACGGAATATTTGAACGACATAAAAAAAAGGTTTTTGATGACTTTATTAAATGTTTCAAATAAAAGCGTCGAAAGCGAGTTTAATTCCAGAGTTTGGGAAAGGTTTAAGAAGCTTTTATTCATCAGCTGGCCAACAAAAAGCATCATTAAAACGTTTACAAGCTTGTTGTTAAACATGGCACATATTTTCAGTTTATTTTAGGCTGGGAAACGATTCAATTATTATTACACACGCTAATTGAATGGCTACCGATCTATGCTAATACATGCATATATTATTTATGCATTTTTCCGAAAATTTGTTTTCCTTCGCATTCTTGTTGGTGGCGACGAGAAAACCATAAAAGTTTCTACGCTGCAGCCACTTTTACCATTTCAATTTGTTTGTTGATTTCTTTTTTGTGTGTGTGTACAGCGTTTTTTCCATTGCGGTTGTGTGTGTGTGTGTTTGTGTGTGGTGGGGGAAATTTACATTTTCGTTTTTGCGCAGAAATGTCACAAACTAATTGTATGTAAATATGTCAAATGTATGTCGTCAACACCTGCATATTTGTGTGCGTGCGGCATTGGGGTGTGTTTGTATTGCATATTGACAATTTCATAAATGCGGTAACATTTTCAATTAAATATGCGCGCAGCTCCGGCAAACATAGCAGCACAAAATTGCCAACACATACAGTCGCAGGTTTGTAAATTTTTTTCTGCCACGCCCACACACCCACACACAGCAATACCGCCCATGCCATCAATTCTGTGGAAAGTCGATTGATATGTACAGTGTACACATATGTGCAGGTGTGCAGCATTTTGGTCGGTTACAAATTGCAAATCAATCAATAAATAATTGAAATGAAAATCATTTTGCTGGTTTCAACTTATCTTCTGCAGACTCTACCTCCCACCACCCAATCCCCAGTGCGTTTCGCTTTGGTTTGACTACAACACTCGCTCGTATGTATGCAAATGGGCAAAATTGTGTACATCTATCACTGGGATCGCATCAGAGCCCAAATCGAAATGGCCCAGACGCCACTGGGCGGAAAGGTGACAGACACAGACGACAGACGGACTGGCCTGTTCTGTTCTGCAAGCCAGGAGGAGGCCGAGAATAAATTGCGAGTCCTTCGCCAGGTGTGTGCGATTAGTAAACTAAACTGTGGGTATATTTCTTATTTCTTATTTCCACACACGAACCGATCAAATACAAACCAGTATTCTCGATTATTGGAACTTCGAACAAATCGCATTCTAGGTAATGGCAATATTTTAGCAATCTTATACTTTTTATCGTTTGGGTTAAGCAGTGTGCTTTATTTCTATACGGTTTCAACACCACAATTTACGATCAGATATTTTCAGAGAAATTCTCATAAATGAGTCCATAAATCATCCACTACTTTTAACTGCTAAAATAAAAATTTAGTTTTTATACCATTTACGCGTAGAGTAAAAGGGTATACTAGATTCGTTGAAAAGTATGTAACAGGCAGAAGGAAGCGTTTCCGACCATATAAAGTATATATATTCGTGATCAGGATCAACAGCCGAGTCAATCTGGCCATGTCCGTATGAACATTGTAAATTTTGTAATATTTGTGTACTTTTTTGATAGTCTTTTAAATTTCTATAGATTTGCCAAAAATAGTTTCAACAAACCAAACAAACCACAACTTTTATTTTTTTTTAATATTTACAGAATTTTTTTTGTAGAAATTCAAAGAAATTAAAAAATGTCCACTGGTGAAGTTCTATACACCATAACTCAACTTATACCCATCGGATTTTGAAGTGTCATACCTCTAAATGTTTCTGGAGCAATTCTCTAAAAATCTGCATTCAAATTTAAAAATTTATTTTTTTTTACTTTTTTTGTCATTTTTCTGATGTAGAAATTCAAAAAAATTAAAAAATGTCCCAAAGCTGAAGTTCTATACTCCATAACTCAACTTATACCCATCGGATTTTGAAGTGGCATACCTCTAAATGTTTCTGGAGCAATTCTCTAAGAATCTGCATTCAAATTTAGAAATTGATTTTTTTTTACTTTTTTTGTCATTTTTCTGATGTAGAAATTCAAAAAAATTAAAAAATGTCCCAAAGCTGAAGTTCTATACTCCATAACTCAACTTATACCCATCGGATTTTGAAGTGGCATACCTCTAAATGTTTCTGGAGCAATTCTCTAAAAATCTGCATTCAAATTTAAAAATTTATTTTTTTTTACTTTTTTTG